AATTTATATGAAATATAAAATTAAGGATTTTATAACACGATTCATATTGGACAACATTCAAAATGATACGGACTATTCTCATACAGAAAATGCCATTGGAATCACATAAAATGTTCTAATGCTTGAAAGTGCCGGGCACAATGCTTGGCATGTATTAGGTACTTCACAAATGTTTGTTCATTCATTCTCTCATTTACTCATGCGCTCATTCAAAGAAATCCAGGCTTAAGGAGAAACTGCATTATAACAAGAATGGCAAGCACAATCTCTCATCAGCAAATCTGGAGGTTTGACAAAGACTTTGGCAATGAAGAGTGGAGAAGATGAGAGGAAAATGATCAAAATTTCAAACTGCTTGATTAAAATCTACCAAGTGAAGTCCTGGGTTGCCCTAGATGACATTATAGAGAATCAAGGTCAATATTCCACAAAAACAATGTATTCCTTCAATACCCACATTTTACTTTTACATACAAACATCTGCTCACAGGCAGGTGTTAGAGACATAAAATGTGCAACCTACCAATAAGTAAGAACCTCATGACTAGGATTTATTTTTCTGCACTGAGATTTCTTTTTGGTTAGGGCCCCATTCTCTTGGTTTTAACAACTTTATACTGGTTATATTAAAAACAAAAAATCTGGTTTGAACCAAAAAGTGTGATTCTAAATTGATGAGAAATAAATGTAGAAGGTAGAGGGGTATTTGACATTCCTGTTCTTTTTATGTACCAACTGATCTATCTATTCTGCACATTTGTGCCAAAGGCACAAGGTGAGGTGTCAGCTCTTTGGGGAGGCACCTGGAAAGGAGCATTTCTGGGCTTCTTGCAGAAGATCTTACAAATGCAATGAGTATTTAACCTGAGAAATAAGGTCTACAAAATGCAAAGGGCTGTAAAGGACAGAAAAAAGTAAAGAATACTCTTGGAAACTAAGCACAATATGGGATAAGGATTGATCTTGGAGGAATAATTTAAAAATCCGTAACAAAGATAAAACGACACTGGCAAGTCATTTGTAGCTGACTTCAACTGCCTTTGGTATTCAGAGAAGAAAAACATGGAACCATTGTTATAAGGTCTAGTTTTATCATCACAAAGAAAGTGGGGTCATGAAGAAGACTCTTCCACTGTCCCTCTCAAGTTCTTTGCCTGTACCAGAACTGACCCTACTGGAAACTTTGCCTTCTCTTAAGCTCTGGTCACCTGAGTAACACAAACAGAGCAGTTGGGGTAGGGATTCTGTTCTCCTCATCCCTTGAGAAGTTTCTGGGGAACCCAGGTCCCTTTACTCTGCATTCTTTTAAACAAAGTGAGAGAGAGTTCATTGCCATCTGCACAGCTGCTCTGGGTCTTTGCCAACTCCAGTTTTTTGCTTTTTCATGGTGATTCGTAAGTGGGCTTGTGCTATTTTTAGGTGGAAGGCTAACTTTTTTTGCGAACCAAACACCTTCCCTTTTCCAAAGTTATAGTCAACTACCATTTGCATTTAAAAGTTTTAAATGTTCTAGTAGTAAAAGATATTACAATTTCAAAATATGTGCTAAAATTTAATTCTCTTAAAGACTTAATTTGCGGGTGGCTTTCATTTATAGGTCATTGGCTGAACTGTAAGGACCGTTTGATCATTTGTGGTATAAGATGACCAATTTTAGAAAATATTTAATTATATTAACTTACTAGATCTTTTCCCAACTTAAATCTACAAGCTAATAGAAGGTTAAAAAGAACAGCTATCAAACAAGGAAACAGGTTTTCAGAATCCTAAGGTAGGCTTCTTGTACAAACTTTGTTTCATGAAATTTTCAAATTCAGAGTAAATATGAGACTAATTATACTGTTTCTTTTATTAATGTCAATGGAAGTTGTCTATAGTAAATTAAAATAGAAAAAGTGTCTTGTACTGTCACATAAATTCAAGGGACAAAAAATTTATAAGCACTAGATATTTATCTTACATTATAGCTCTTGATAAAATTTAAGTTCTTCCTGCCAAAATATAAAGAACTAGTATTTCTTTAAAAACAAATATGAATGCGAAACCTACTTATGGTAAGAGAAAGTCCCTTAAATATATCCCAAGTATAATATGATTAATTATGTCACACTTTGATCCCTCAAAATTATTTTGAAGCTATTCTCATTCTTTGGATTTCTATAAATATCCTTAGAGAAAATAAAAAACATGAAATATCTGTGAATAGCTCACTTATCTGATGAGATAATAAAGAATCCCCTAGCCCCTAGCCCCATTCCAGACAGAATATTTAAGAAAGTTTCACTGTTTTGTTTTTGCTTTAAGTTGTAAAAGTAATTTAGCTTATCAAGGCAAATTCAGAGCTGTGTAATAGTTTCGCCAAGCCACATAAATAAATTGAGTGACTCTATTAACTTTATTATGACATTTAAGTGGATGAACTTTACTTAGTAGATTTGTTGGTTCGGAAAAATAATCTGCCAACAAAACCAAGGATTTCTTTTAGAACAGGTTTCAAGGCAACAAACTGTGGCATTTTCCCCATTTTTTGTCATGCTACCAACACAAGACTGCACTACATGCACAAAATCCCAAACCCAGGCTCGTAAGTAGTGGTTATAAATAGTAGTTTCAGTGATTCCATATGGAGACAAAGACTTGAAGAATATTCTTTGTGAGATCATGCCCCCGGAGAAAATTAAATTTAACCAAGAAATTCCAATGAAATAGATTGGGATTTGAAGTGGTTGCCAGTCTGGTCATCCAACGGGGAACTTGAAAATTCAGACAGGGACAGGTACTTCTGTTCCTTTTTTAAGTCTTCTTGTCACTGATGCAGTTATACTATTCTTTTGTTCTTATTTATCTTAGTTCATTCCATTATTTAAAAAATGAAGAAAAAAGGGATAAACAATGTGTAAATATTTGATTTGAAAGCTGCTCCACTGTAGGAGGAAACAAATATATAACCGGTTCCAAAGGCCATCTTTAACTCCTGCAAGGTGCTCTATATTCTTGGCTTACTCTTAGGAAGTCTAGCCTCCAAGACTCTAAAACAACACAGTTGTAATAGGAATCATTTTTCATGTGACCACCTCATTAAGAATCAAAGCACATACCACAACACGTTTTGGTCAGGTATAAAATGGAATAATTTCAAAGTTGATATATCTACAAGTTGAAAAGTCTTTCGGGGAATAGTTTCACCCTGCCATGTTGACTTAGAGGTCCAGGTTTTCAAAAGCTGCCTCTCCAGACTAATTCTATAGTGGTCCATGTAAACAAAACACAGGTGAGAATCGTCCTTCTGGAGCTGCTTTCATCGAACAGCAGGATTACCTGAAAGTGTGGTGTTGGCTAAATGTAACACAGGCAGAGGGTGAGCCTCTGTATTAAACACCCAGTGGTCTAAAGGTAAAAGGTCATCACCAGAGAACAGCAGATACAAATATCTGAAAATAAAAAAGGGACAAATGAGCCTCAATTAGAATTAAAGAAATCAAGTGAGCTCAGTTATAAAGGCAGAGAAAATCAATGATCTATTTTAAGCAGCTTTGATTAAAAACATCACAGAAATGAACCTCAGTCACCCAAATGATCTAAAACACAAAGACAGTATGTTCCAGAATAGTGCATAAGAATACCAGTAAGATGAACTGGACCTGATGAAATAAAATAGTTTTCTAAAAAAATTCCACATTTTTTTCTGAAGCACATAAAACAATGCTGTAAAATGGCACAAAAAAAACCATTTCATGATTTTTCAAAGACATTCTTTTAAAAATCACACATAATATTAATCACATGTTCTGGCAACTTATAAAGCTCATAAAGAACTAGCAATTAATTCATATTTATTATTATAATAAACAATGAAGGAAATGGGTGAAGTATATTATTTGGACACAGCAAAGACTTTTACATTACTCCTCTTAGTACATTAGTAGTTGTAGTTTTTCAGTTCTTGGAGCAGGTGTGGCAAGCTATTAAGATAAAGGTTTCAGAAACATTAATAAATTATTAAAACTTCTGTAAATCTATAATCACTCTTCACAGGTAATAGAACTGTTTATATGAAGGCAAGGATCCTGACCTCTCCATGAGCACTGCAAGCCACAGTAGTCACTTGGAAATTAAAAAATGATAGGTCAATACACCCAATGATTCTCTGACCTATGATGTCAGAAAAATTCCAATCTGAATTCTATTAGGGGATCATCAAATTGAATATAAAAAACCAACTATATAGAGGTAAGACAATCTTGGTTCTAACTCTTGATCTTAGTAATAACTAGCTGGGCCTTACATGGCCTCGGTGAAGAATTTACTTTTAAAATAGGCATGTTAATATCTTTTCTGATTACCGGCATAGTTCTGGATGAGAAAGTGAAAACAGATAGCACTGAGGTAAATGGAGATTACGTATCAACCTTATGATTAGTAAAGCTGGAATGGAGAGTAACAGGGCTGCCTACCTCACTCTTCAGTCCTAGACCTTGAGACCTGCTTGATTGTGATTTATTCACCAGCTTGTAGGCAAAGTTGGAACTAAAAACACAAACTTAATTGGACATAGCAAGAGACTCTGCTTGGTCTGCTTACCATATGGATACCAGAAGCAGAAGCACTTGGTGTCCTGGGTGCATACATGTCCAGGAGAGCTATGTTCTGTGTAACTCCATGTAGTTTCCCTGCCTTCTGGTTAAATGTGGGCTAAAGGATGTCAAATATGTCCTAATCTCATCACTTGTGGGAGAAGTGAGTGAAAGATTAGAGAAAAAAAAATGCAAGAGTTTCCTATAATATGATTCCTTTCCATTGGGGAGGCTATGGAAGTACCTCACGTAAACAAATGTTTTGAAAAGTAGTAAGATAATATATGTGCAAGTTTTAGGTATCAGAAAGTGATATTGTCATTATTTTTAAATCATCTCTTAAACAAAAGAATCTTAAATAATATTATAGTGGGTTAAATAGGACCCCCATTCCAAATTCATGTCCACCTGGAATTTAAGAATGTGACCATATTTGGAAATAGGGTCTTTGCAGTTGTAAATACTGCAAATAGTTAAGGATCTTGAGATAAAATTATCCTGGATTTAAGGTGGATCCTAAATCCAACAACTGATGTCTTTATAAGAGAAAGGAGAGGGAGATGGACCTAGAGACACACCGGGAAGGTGGCCGTGTAAAGACGGAGGCAAAGATTGAAGTTATGCTGCTACAAGCCAAGGAACGTCTTGGGAAAGACCTGATTTGGGGATTCTGGTCTCCAGAACCCTGAAAGAATAAATTTTTGTCATTTTAAGCCACGAAGTTGGTGGTAATTTGCCTTAGGAAACTAATACAACTTCCATTCCTACCCTCTAGAATACCCCTGGCCATTAAGCATTGCTGTTTGATCCTGGGGGTTTGGAACAAGACTGATCACTTCTTGGAGAATCAAATAATCCCTAGAAAACAGGGCTGACACTAGACTTTATATGTCTAAATATATATGTTTTGTTGTGAATGTAAAAATTCATAACAAAATCAATGTTTGAAACCAAAGTAATACAGCTACACAACTCTTTTTAACCTTGAATTACGCATTCTATGACTTAATACACCATTATTGCTTTAAATTTAAGATATTTGACCTGCGTCGTAAAAATAAAACAATTAGAGAAGCATGATCTTTGCTGTGGAAGTTGAGAAAAGTCTACAGTCTAAATTAACTATAAGACTACTAGATTTTTTTTTTTCTCTAGCAGAGATATTTTTGTAATTGTAGTTCAAAGTCAGACAACAGATGATGACAAATAACCTCGACAAAAGCCTGTACGTATATAAAAAGGTGCTTTTAAGTACCTCAGTTTTACCAGACGTTTTTAGTTCTTGCTTACTCTTTAGAGCTATTTTTAAG